CCAAAACAAAGGCGGCTACTGTGAGAACTGTAATGGGCATCCCCCAAGACCAGGAGCCGAGAACCTATGGCTCCCGATCCAGATGTGGCTCTATTGATGCCTGCATCTGGCTCGTAGAGAAATGTTCGATAATCAAAAAAATAATTTTCTTTAGACTCCTTTGATCTACATATTAATTGCATATCAACATTTCATTCCACAAATGAGCTAAAGTCTACTGCACCTCAGCATAAGAAGTGGATTTTTTAGTTTTAAACATAATGTATGGCTCTCACAGAATTACTTTTCAAAATATGTGGTGTCCATGGCTCTCTCAGACAAAAAGGTTCCCGACCCCTGGCCTAGACGATCAAACGAAAAAAAAAAAATACAATTTTACAAAAGCTAAATGAGAGACGAAAAAACAGACTGACATTTTTGGATTTCGACCTATGCCTGGTCAAGGACATGATTTATGGATGGCGACCTGGTATGTTCTGAGTCTACACAAATCAGGAGTCCTGCTCTGCCTCAGTGATGAATTGATAAGATATAGAATCACTGTTGCTGTACTGCAGGAGACAAGATGGAAAGACTCAGATATACTAAGTACTAAGGAATATACAATATTCTACAAAGGAAATGACACCAGCACCCCAGGAAGGGGAGTTTGCAGTCAAAAGAGAGTCGGTAAATGCCATCATTAGATTCAAACCAGTGAGTAAAAGATTATGCTCCTTAAAGATAAGAGGAAATATGTTTAACATCACGTTAATTTGCGCACAAGCTACAACAGAATATGCAGGTCATAACATTAAGTAAATTTGTATGGAAAACTTGAAAGAATATTTGATGAAGCACCAATCCATGATACCAAAATGGTCCTTGGAGATTTCAACATGAACATTGAAAAAGGGCCTGCTCACAGATCAACCATATGCATGACAAGAGCAATGACAATGGAGTCTTTAATAGACTTCGCTACAGGAAAAGGAATGACAATCAGCAACATAATATCAATATTCCAACACAAACAATAAAACAACAAAGCGACATGGATATCATCAGATGGATTTACCCATATCCAAATAGATCACATGCTCATTGCCTGGAGGCATGGCTCCGACTTATTAGATATACACAGCTTTAAGGGGGGAGACGTAGACCCAGACCATATACATGTAAAAGACATAAAAACAAAGAATTTTTAACATATACAATAAGCCCAATAAAATAGAAACAACAGTACAATAGTAAGAAGTTAAGTAGAGACCCAAAAATTACTGGGGCATATCAAAAAAAGATTCAATCTCAACAAGAATTATTCAAAAGGGAAAAAGCCAACAACATCAATATAAATGAGCAATAGGAAAAAAAATGAAAGAAATTGTTAAAGGGGTAACAACCGCAACAGAGGAAAGAACAGGATTTAAAGAGACAGTGACAGGGAAAAAAAACAGGATGGTATGATGCAAAATTATTATATTTCATTAATAGGCCAATATAATTAAAATAACAAGTGGGTATATTAACTCCTTATTGCCTTATTAATTCTTAGTATCAGCTTAACGACTACACTTTTGACCAAGTTCCTCAAGAATTTATTTCATTTTTTTTATTAGGATTGGCTTATTTGGCCGAAATTAAAATGTTTCTTTAGTTTACTTCTTAGACCTAATATTAACATTAATGGCTTATTGTTGGTACTCATTGATTAGGGCCTAATTATAAGTCCCTAAATTAATTGGTCATAAATTAAATTAAATAAAAAGTAGACAGGACTCAGACTTAGGGCTAAAATAAACACCTACTTGGGTTATACAATAGTAAAATTATAGCAGGTTCTAAATATGGCTTCTGAGTCTACTCTACTGTAGTGTAACTCTAACTTACTGAACTTTTCTACTTTTACTAACAACTGTTATAGAAGCCGGAAAAAAAAAAAAAACACTTACAAATTACAAATAGTAAATTTAAGTATTTTAATGTTAGTAGGGGGGGGGGGTACGCACTGAACACAAGTCGACTACTAAAAAAATTCACCAAAAAAAACAACCTATTTAAGTTACAAGTGTCAAATTTTCACTGAAGCTAGAGGAATGGCTATTCTACCATAATAACACATAAAATAACCATTAGTAGTGCAACATAATAGTCTGCTAACATTGACAAATGAAAAAATAAAATGGGATGCTGGAAACTGGCATGTCAGACAAACAAAATTAGTTAGAATGTTTTAAGCTCAAATTTATTATAATTTTTTACCCATATAGAAATATGGATTAGCTTTGACGACAACTAGGAAAAATGTAATTTATTGAATACTTTTTGCATCACAGCATCCCAAAGTATCTTAATTTTGACATTTTAAAATCAAACTTTGATGGATTGTAAAATGTGTACTTATTAATATATTACAATATCCTTAGTTGCTGACATAGACAAGTGTATAATATAGCATCTTGCAAAATTTTAAAAAAATTGGTTGATATTTAAAAAATTTATCATTTTTTATATGAATTAAATGTCGAAATTTTGTGAATGAACGCGCAATAATTTTGTTCATTAAGTAAATAAATTGTATAATTTTAATGACCCCCTAAAATATAAGGATGTCATTTGGCTTCAACTTTTGACTCTTCTAACCCAAATTTAAGCCTTCTTCTGGTTCTTCTATCTGCCAAGGACTTATTCATTTGTTTTTTTGTGCCTTCGATATCCGCTTAGCACCCATCATAATGAAATAATTGAAAGTAAACTGTCCAAAGGAAAGCTGAAAAATCTTAGAGGAGCCTCCAATACTTTGGATCCATCATTGAAAAGAAGGGTTGCTTACTCAACACCAATGTGGACAGCTCTTAAACCATAATATTTGTTCTTAGGGCACATTTTCAATATAATATTATTCATCGATTTGTTCGCATTTTGGGTATAAATATCTAAAAATTTACTAAAAAATAATTGGATGGTAAAGGTCTAAAAAATTGGCCGAATTAAATTAATTTCTGCTGATTCCATGTTATTATAAACATTAAAAATTAATGAAATGATTTACAGATGTCTTAATTTTCACTTTAATCTAAATGAGAACCATTAACTCCATATATGTCTATAAATTTAAATTCTGACTTGTTCTGGGTGAGCGTGGCATTTGGTGTTTTCAAAACCACTAAATTTTAATTGAAGTCAAAATCAAGGAATAAGCCATATTCATAGATGAATATGGAATTAGATTGTATTGATTAATTTATTTCATTTAAACTATCATCATTGGGTCCAATATTAGGCATAGTATATCTATTTTCATGAAACGCTCGTTTCTTTGAATTGTTATCACTAGGCATTGTATAAACAAATTATAAAAAATATTAAGACAATTTTAATATTCACAAAAATGTTTTGTTTATTTCCACGGAATCCGCCATATTTAAAGGACTGATCATTGTATTAAATAATTATTGGTGAGGTCATCCTTGTTTTAATACAATTGAGATAGAAAAAGTATAAGGATTTTTTTTGGTGTAAATTCTGATACAACCCCCTTCTAACAAAAAATTCATATCTCAAGAACTATTTAACTTAAATTAAAAATAATTACATATAATTGTGCAGAATTGAATACACTTTAATTTGATATCAATGGTTACTGTTATATCGAAAAAAGGCTTTTTTCCATTTTTCTCGGTGTACCTCCCCCCTTAATTTAATTAGTGATTAGCCTACCCTACATCTAAACCTACAGTCCCTAGGCCTACACCCTACATCCTACAGTACAGCGGCATACACATTTAAATATTTTTAGCCTAATACTAATAATATTATATAAGAATACTACAACTATACAGCCTACAACTTTAAATATTTTAATAGAGTGTTGATAACCATAATTCGATAAGTATGAATTGGCAGTCTAAACACTGATTTTGTACTGAGTCTGAGCCACGATCTACTTCAAACTTGTGCTTAGTCAACTTAGTTTTTAAGTTGTAAATTATGTTACACAAAGAAACACACTCATACCATTCACTATTATACGATACTGTTGGTTAAATTTTGTGTAGGCTACTACTTTTAAGTAAGTAACTAGTAACTTTCTAAGTAATCTATATCAAGTATGTCTATACCAGGGGTCGGCAACCTGCGGCTCTTTTGATTTTGATTTCAAGATGCCGCTCTCCAGTTCCATGCGCAAATATTAATAATTATATTGAAATAAAAATTTAAATGGCTCTTTAAAAACTGGGAAATTTTGTAAATTGTATCTTTTGGCTCTTCCGTCTCAAAAGGTTGCCAACCCCTGGTCTATACTATAGCCAGTCTATCTATGTAATGTCAATCAAGTCTAATTCTTAGTAATCTTATTCTTAGCATACTACACAAAAAACAATTCAGAACAGTTGTAATACACTTTTAACAGCTGTAAAGTTAACTATTATAATTACTTATTTGTGGTATCTTTTAAAATATAATTGTACCAATTATGTTATTGATCTCATACCTTAGAATTGTAACAACTAAAGAGGTTCTTAATTATTTTAAAATCCACTTTGATCAGTTGTATGGCAACTTCAAGTTATTACCATGAAGTGAAGTTACGTTTGTTAAAGTTACCTTACTTTATTGAGTGCCAGCAAATCGTGAAGGCGTAAGGCATAGTAGATTATTGCCAGGTATAAATTTTGTTCTACTTCTTGACGAAATCCATGCAACAGCAATCGCAACGTCAATATAAAAAAATCAAAATGTAGATAAGCACAGAATAGACACTTAAAACAACTCTAACTACTTAATTAACGCCAAAGATAAAGATTTTTACTGAAAATATACACTTACCCCTTTTTTTTGCTCAAAAAGATGAATATATTGTTATTTTTAAAAAAAGGATATGCAGTTTTTTCAAATTAAGTAAGCATTATCAATAAAAATAAAATAAAATATAATATAATTATTGATTTTATTTTATGTAGGATTTGTTATGATTTAAAAAAGAGACACGAAATGGGTTTGGCCTGTCACTACCTATACACATTTTTGCGTCCAAGCTGTAGTGTTAGACACGAGATTTTGCGAGAATTTAATCATGGCAGCCCTGCCAATGGAGAAATATAATGGCAAGACAAATAATGGTTTATCAGGTATTGAATAATGATTACTTTTACTTAACAAATGTTCCGGGGCCTTTTAGACATGTATTCCAGATACATTTATAATTGATAACATTTGTAGTGTTAAGAAAACATCCTCAGTTTTGTTGTTTAATATTTTTTTTTACTAATACCAGTATATAGTTATGAGTTAGTTAAGTAGAAGTCTAATAAGTAGTTTAAGACTTGGTTAAAGTTCAAGACAGTAGTATTCTGAGTAAGTAAAATGAGTAAGTAGGCAGTATCAGTAGTAGTGAAGTGAATTAGTCGCTTAGTCAGCCCAGCAGCCTAAGTATACTAGTTGAAAATTAGTGAGAGAATTAGTATTATTAATTTATAATTATAAGGCCCGCACTATGTGCACCGCGGCGGTGTACCTAGCGAAACTATTGACTTTGGCCTGCGTTCACCGCGGCGGTGTAACTAGCTAAATCATGGTCTGTGGCCTGTGTACACCGCAGCGATTTAAAGTAGCAAAACTATGGTCTTTGCGAGTCTTTAACTTGTTGGCCTAACCGGTACTTGTAGATTTAATGTTATACTCGTGTTAAAACTGAAAACTATTTATTTAAAATTCGTTTATTACCTTGGGAAGATATTGAGTAAGTTCCACGCTTATGTGGCAAAGTACATGTAAAGCATTTCTTATTATTTTTTGGAAGGGAGGGGGCTGGGGGTGTAATGTTAAACCATGATTTATTTTTAAAGTTAACCACATTATTCCCCCCTCCCCCAATATATTGAAATACAAATATATTTATTAATTGTTGTAAGTTTTATCATATGATTGTGAATCTTAATAGGCCTAAAAAGGGTAGCTAATTTGAAATTATTCTCTCATGCCCCCCCACCCAGTTGTTGTTGTTTTTTTTTTTTGGAGGGGGGCATTATAAATATAACATTGTATGTGATCCCTCTGGGCGTTGTGTAAAAATGAATGGGAAGCCAGTGAATCTATTTTGTTAGCACAAAGATATAATCACGCCACAAATACACTATGGGAAGAGAATCACATACTCATACATTGATCATGAAGTCGTGACGTTAAAGTTGTCCGAGGCATTGTCATTGTGATACCAAGCGTGTGTCAACACAAAACAGCAGTAAAATGATAAATATGAAACACTGCCGTGATTTTTAAAAGTCTTTTAACAATAATTAAATATCATTGATTTAGATTTCCATTGGCATTACACATTAGTAAAAAATACCGGCGGAAAGGGGGGGGGGGGGGGGGGGGGGGGGGATGCAAAAGGTAAGTTTGTTGTGCGGACGTCCTTTGGGGACAACCCCTATCCAGAGCCATGATTTGTGAATGCCCCCTTTTTGGTTAAGCCTCTGCCCATAGCTCATCAAGGATCGATTTCTTAACAATAAAAAAAAAAAAAAAAAACAAATATAAAAACTTTGACATAGCGCAAATCCTGTCCCAAGCCCATTGTGCATTTTTTTTGGGGGGGGGGGGGGTGGCATTATAAATATAACATTGTATGTGATCCCTCGGGGCGTGGTGTAAAAATGAATGGGAAGCCAGTGAATCTATTTTGTTAGCACAACGATATAATTACGACACAAATACACTACGGGAAGAGAATCACATACTCATACATTGATCATGAAGTCGTGAAGTTAAAGTTGTCCGAGGTATTGTCATAGTCATTGTGATACCAAGCGTGTGTCAACACAAAACAGCAGTAAGATGATAAATACGAAACACTGCAGTGATTTTTAAAAGTCTTTGAACAATAATTAAATATTGATTTAGTTTTACATTGGCATTACACATTAGTAAAAAATGCCGGCGGAAAGGGGGGGATGCAAAAGGTAAGTTTGTTGTGCAGACGTCCTTTGTGGACAACCCCTATCCTGAGCCGTGATTTGTGAATGCCCCCTTTTTGGTTAAGCCTCTGCCCATAACTCATCACCACCCCCAACCCCTGGCAAGTATCGATTTATTAACAATTAAAAAAAAAAAACAAATGCAAAAACTTTGACATAGCGCAAATCTTGTCCCAAGCCCATTGTGCAATGGTTTCTGTGAGAAAACGTCATGTTTTACCCTGAGAATAGCACATGCCATGCCATTCTGGAAACAAATTACGTCATGAAAAGGGTAAACGCAGACCTATGGCTTTGCTATACAGTTTGCTACCGCTCCGCAAGTTTCTAAAATCGAGGTGTTTTCAAAAGATTTGCTGTGAGACTGAGTGTTGTGAATGAACCTTTGATATCGTATGTACATTTTGCCAATGCATAAGGCATAGTGAAAGCAAGATGGTTCAAGGTTGAAATACGACCATGCACATTAATGACATTAAAATTATATGATATTAATGATATACTGGTATTTTCTTTGGGTGTTCATAAAAGTAAAATGTAAATATTCAACTACACGAAGAATGTTGAAATACAATAGAATATCACTTAGTCACTTAGTATTCATAATGTTTCTCTTACACATGTTACATACACTATACATGCGCTTTCAGAAACTTTAAGTTTGTTTTCAAATGTCTAAAGTCTTATTACTAAATTTACCGGTATTTTCAAAGTTAGAGGCCGGCACAACTTGTTGAAACACTTATATATATATATATATATAAATATATAAAGTGTATTTAATATAATATTTAAACATATATTTAAATTGTTTAAATTGCTACAAAATATTTTAAAACTGGGAATTGATTTCGAACTACATTATCCCCAAGCGTCCACTCTACCACATGACCACACAAGATCTTCTCTAATAAGCATATCTTAAAACCAGGCCACTGGTACATTTTTGCCGCGGTGTACCCAGGCCAAAGCCCACGATTTCACTAGGTACACCGCAGCGGTTTACGCTGGCCAAAGCCGATGGTTTCGCTAGGTACACCGCTGCGGTGTACGCATCCACTTCATAATTATAATCATTTTTTCATAGTAATAGTTTGAGCATGACTATTTCCAGTATCAATGCCAAGCCCAATGGCCATCAATAAAAAACCCAGTCTTACTAATTTTGACATCATAGGCTCTAAACTGTTTCTGTTATAAATATTTGAATTTTATTTACAGTGGTGCCAGTTGAGCACAATAAATAATTGTGGCTTCTCAGTACTCAGTTTGTTATTGAAAGTTATTGTGTCAATGTGCATGTGCACCACAATCAACTCAACATTTTAAAAGTTTTCACTCTCTTGCCGACTACACGCCGTTGTCACAAGATTATAACTAAATCTATAGAAATATCTGATAAATGTATCTCATTGCGCTGTGCATTACCGGTATTACCAAAACAAATTAACGGAGCTGAGACTGTGCTTTTTGCTCCTTTCTTCATCTTTGGTTTTCACTGAGCAATAGCCAAGGTGCTAAGCTCAGTTTTGCATGTGACACTAAGTTTTGTTGATTGGCTGTAAAATCATAATGTTATCATGTTATAATAATATTTTAAACAAAAAGGTCAATATCAATGAAATTAAGTGAATAATGAACGTTCATTGTGACATTGGTTATTATTTTTCCCAAATACCATTTTCATTGAGTTAGTAGGATATTCACTCGACCTCTTGTCATTGTAATGATGATCCCATTATTAATATTAAGTTTATTTTGCTGAATAAAATGCATATTTTTAACTATAAGGGCATAAATTAAGTATTAAAAAGACAATTTTTATTTTACCAGTAATTATCTACATGCAGTATTATGTAAAAATATAATCAACAGAATTTGGTGACACATTCCATACTACAGGAACATTCTTAGTTATTATAGTAATATACCATAAAAAAAGGTCAAAGAAATTTTCCAATATTGTATTTTTTAAAATTCACAGCTCTACAACTACTAAAGCTAATGTTATTTTTTTTCCATAAAACTATTTTTTTTGTAATTGCTATATTTTTTTGGTCATCACTAAGGCTACATTAAATTATTCATCCCTAACATGTGTGGACAGAAACATTGTTCTCTACCCGTAAGAAATTATGCCTAGAACGCTTTGTGCACTACCCATCTCGTAATATATATTTGGCGCATCTTGCCCTACCCATTACAAGCCTTTTATTTAATAGCCTAAAGGAAGCCTAAATTTACTTTTTTTACAATTTAGAACAGTTGTAATACACTTTAAACAGCTGTAAAGTTAACTATTATAATTACTTATTTGTGGTATCTTTTAAAATATAATTGTACCAATTATGTATTTGGCGCATCTTGCCCTACCCATGACTAGCCTTTTATTTAAAAGCCTAAAGGAAGGTAGGCACTTCGGTAAAACAAGAAAAAGCTACATATTTTTAAAGGAAAGGCCATAAAATAACACCTCATTTGATAACTATGGTAATGGTAGTCATATTCTTTGGTGGTATATGCTATGTATAAAGTGTAACACTTCATTTTGAAATCATAAAAAATTCTGGGCAGGCAGCTCAGCCCCGTCACCAAACCACACTTTCACTCAGGTGACTTCGGCCTGCAAAACCAATTTCCACTCCCCCAACCCAGCTTTGTTTATCAAAGTGGTGATGATGGAACCTTTTTATTTGCGATAAAGCTTTGTATATAAATATCTATACATCTGTCATATACTTTGGGAAGTGACCTTTTTAGACTTGCGATGCAACTAGATATCCTATATGTTATAATGTATGTTTATTTTTGATACAGTATTATATAATTTTTAGATGGTAAAGCACTATTGGGAAAAAATATTGTACTATTTAGGGTAACCAGGTCTGGCATTTTCCAGATAACCTTCCAAGCCTCACATTGCCACAATTATTTAGTTAGATGGCCACCTGTGGCCTCAATAAATGATTTGAATTTTCATATTTTGACTTGTAATGTGTGAAAATTGATGGAAGGTTTATATTTTTATTATTTTTAAAATGTAATGACTGATGTTTAAGTAGTGTTACAGATGTCAGTAATCGTAAGATTAAAATGGCCTAAGTAGCCCAGTTTTAATTGATATCACCCACTTATTTATTTGTATTCTCAGCTAGCATTCAATTTCAAGTATAGATGAAATAGCAGTACATCTCTACATTGTACCAGGTCTCCAATTTTGTTTTTTGGTAAGTGTCTCTTTCTTATCAATTATTTTGGAGAAATAGGTGCTTTTGTCAAATAAAAAGGGACACTCCCCAATTTTAAAACTCATTTACCCCTGATCTTAAACTTAGTGGCCATCCAAAAGGGATGTCTTGCAATTGTGGGGGGGGGGGGTCCCATGAATTTGTGATGATGTGTTATGAGGGTTGGGAAAGTGGGAGGGTAGGGGAAAAAAAGTGCCAAAACTAAAATGCCTTCATTTATGGATGGCCTGTTAATTGTAAGCTTGTGGCTGTGATCTTTTTCAAAGTGTAAATAACTGCTTCTTGATACAAATAATACAAGTACGGCATTGGTGATAGGGATTCATCTTTACTTTATTGTTATCCACAAAGTCAATTTGTTTCACAAGGCTAAGAAATCAAATTTATTTTTTTTCCTTAAATCCATTGGGTACATTTAGTTTTTTCCAAATTTTATTGAATATTTATTTTGATTCAATCCGCCAGCACTGATGTGTATGTATAGTTCCTGATATGTAGGGACAGTTATTTTTCCAGCAATCTATATTGATTTCATCTCATTTAATTTATTGTTTAGTTGGTAGTCTGTGGGCAAAATGGCTTCTACGCTAAATGAGGAAAGTGTTGAAAAAAAATTGAAGACGGTAAATAATACACAAGACAGCATACAAAGTTTATCCTTATGGATAATCCACCACAAAAGTCACCATGCCAAGATTGTTGAGTTGTGGATGAAAGTGCTGAAAAAGACAGGTACATCTTTTAATCAAAATAATATTTTAAAAGAAATGCAATAAAAGTATATTATTGTTCATTGTCACAAGTGTTATCATGTCAATTACTAAATTACAGTTGAATCATTTGTATAAATTTATTGGCGATTATCTCAAATAATTGAATTGTTAATACATTACAGTTCATCCATCGCATCGATTGACTCTGTTCTACTTGTGCAATGATGTTGTGCAAACTTGCAAAAAGAAAAAGGCATTCGTGTACAACACAACATTTAAAGAACATCTAAGAGAAGCCGCTGCTCTAGTCAGGTGAGTATTTTTTTTATGTTTTCTAGTACTGTTACCTGTAAAAATTGACAGATATTTTAATGAATTGAAAATTATAGAATTGAGTTGATTAAAACTTATAGTTCTCTAAGACCATTTTTAATTATTGGCCATAAAAAACAGCAGACATTTTCTTTAAATCAGAGGTCTCAAATCATCCGGGGGCCGCAGGAGGTAGAATCTGAGTGAGACCGGCCCGCATCAAGTATTCCACAAAAAAGCGATTACAAATTCAATGAAGTACAACTGTTACTATCTGCTCAACCTTTATTAATAACGAATAAAAACATTAAGGGTGGTCAAGAACGAGGCTTCACTTACTTCCTCCTACATCTTGTTGCCAGAGACGTGGCAGCGCTTCTTCTTACACAGCTGAGCAACATTTGGTTATTGTATGGAGAATGAATTTTGAATTTTTTTTTAAATTGAGAAAAGACCTTTTCGACTAACCCTATTTTGAAAGTGACCAAGCTGACAGGCTCGGAATTTCCCTCACTCATACACACTAGCAGCAATTTTAATGGGAATTCTTTGATGCTGTGTCAGAGTGCTACGATTTACATAATTATGTTTGTGCATTACCCTCTAACGGATTTTTTAAACTTTTGATATATATATATATACAATATTCAAAGCGTGTTTTCTTAAAACTGCACTTTGGTAAATTCAATTTTACCATTAAAATCAACATCCAAACCTATACAAACATAATAAAAATCAGAATTAGACTAGTAGGTGAGATTTGACTGAAACCGTCATGGGAGGTCACATTATAGATATGAGAATGGTGAAAATGCGTGTGCCGCATTAACACAAAACTTTGCTGTCAGGTAGCGGGCCACGAGTTTGAGACCCCTGTTTTAAATGATTATTTTAGATTTCTGCCGATCAAAACTGAGAATCATCAACTAAACAAAATCCTTCCCTAATGTGGTTAAAAATTTGTTAGAACTCTGAAGGGGAGACGGCTGTGTATTCTGAAAATGCAGTGCTGTGCAAAGGTTGTTTTACTAGTTCCAGCCAGACATACAACAGGAATTATGTTATTTGAATTTTGGATTTTTATTATTGTATGTCATCACAAAGGTATAGAAAAAGAATATGATCCCCTGAATTCAGTATGTCTCCTCCTTTCCCCCCCCCCCCCCCCCTCTGTTTCCCACTTGTGGTTATTAAAAATAATGTTGGTCACCTTGCATGTTTTGCTATTGTGCCATGTTGGATAGCTTTGCTGCAGACAACACAGGATCATTGGGTTCTGTCATGTGATGAATCTTTTAAGGGATCTTCACAAAAGAAAATCTTCCCATTTTTGAAGGAAAGTTGGAGAGAGAGAGAGAGAGAACATTTCATAAATTCCTCTTGCACACATTCCATTTGTTCTAGCTTTATGATAATTGCTAGAAAATTGAACCAGTGGTTGAGATATGTTCATAACAAACATTCAATGGTCGCACACCCAAAAACTCTAATAAATATATTAATGTAAATGTGACCATATTCACTGCCGATTTTTAAATCTAAGTGCAAAATGGAAGCAAATGAATGGCAATAAAAGTTAATGGGATTATTTCTGACCCCCATTTTTTTTTTAAAAGTTGCCCATTCCAATTTAAAATAGAGTCAATGACACCAATATCTCATACCATGTTTCCTGTCTTTGCACATCTGTCATTACCATCTTTCCTGTCTTTACACATCTGTCATTACCATCTTTCCTGTATTTACACATCTGTCATTGCCATGTTTCCTATCTTTGAGTATCTGTCATTACCATCTTTCTTGTCTTTGCCCCTCTGTCATTACGGTGTTTCCTGTCTTTGCACCTTTGTCGATACCATGTTTCCTATCTTTGCACATCGTCAATACCATCTTTCCTATCTTTGCACCTCCGACAATACCATCTTTCCTATCTTTACACATCTGTCATTACCATCTTTCCTGTCTTTACACCTCTTTCATTACCATCTTTGCTGTCTTTGCACATATTCAATAGATTTCTGTGAAGACAAATGGGAGTCGCTTAGTCAATTATTTTGTCACGTGATATGAGTAAAAACGAGTAAGATTTCCGGTATACTGTATACAACACACTAGTGCTTGACAACAGTAGCCCAATACACACTACAACTACACTAAATTTCGTCCAATGAAAATTAACAATAAAATAAACAAAGGGGAATGACTCCTGCATCAATATTGAATAAAAACGCAAATGACGTCATGAGCACGCACGGAGCTCAACAACATCCTGCCTATAATAGTATTGATGGTTCCCATCGAATATCGCTCACAAATTTTTCTTGAAATAACTTTCTTCCTTTAATCATAACTGACGTATATTTATTGTCACATTTATGTATTTCATTTAAAAAACGCGTGTATTCCAGAATATTTCGAAAGGTAAAATTTTTAATTAACATAACATTGGGGAAGCACTGACGAAGTATCTTTTGTTGTGTGTTGCAGCCTAGTGATGACTTACTCATATCACGTGACCAAACAAGGAAGTGACTAAGCGACTCCCATTGAGAATGATTTACAATCAATGATGGGTTAGGCCGCTACAAAAAAAATCCCTGTTTTAAATGCAATTTTAAGAATGCTAAAGCCCATAAGTTACTGTCATCTTATAAAAATAATTTTGCTGAAAGATTATGTCAACGATAGCAAAAAAAAAGTCAGAAATAGCAAATATAACTGTCCTATTTAAGATCTTTGGTGGCGTAATGAAACTAATAAATGAGTTAACCAGTTGTTACTTAAATAACTAATGAATTATTGTGTTAAAATTTTGGAATTTACCATTTACTTCATTTTACTACAAGTGGTCTTCAAATTCAATATTTTTGTTCTAATGTTATGTATATTTGAGCTCCTAAATCTTTAATTTTTTTTCTTTATTTTCTAGGGATCATTCAGTCAAGGGAAAAGTTGAGCGTATTTTTAACATATGGGGAGAAAGGAACGTCTATGATACTGCCTTTATAAAAAATCTTGTCGGCATATTGAGTAAGTAAAAAATCTACGTAGCCTGTGGATATAGCTGTGAAGAAGATTCAGTATTTCAAGTTTTCTGGGTATTTCTTTTTAAAATGACGCTAGTGGGCTTTGTAATGAAATGTAGACCTGTTTTCGAAAAAAAATATTTTCCTTGGCCAATTTATTGTATTTTAAAAATCTGTGAATCTAGATGGACAGATGGTCAAATCCAAGAAAGGTCAAAAAGAACCAGCATCAAATAATGTCCCTCTCAGTCCAGTGGGTACACCATTTGTTGAATTTGAGCAGAAAGATACTCCTGCTGAATCCCAGAGTGACAATGTGGCTGAGAGAGATGCTGAAGAAAGTGCTCGTATTCTTGCGGAATTTAAGGTAATTTGTGTTTTCTTTTAAGATTAATTTTTGTCTTTGTGATTGTGATTAGATGTAAACCAAACCAACAATTGTGTGGTTAAAATTATGAAAAGTAATGCTGTGATATCTTTGTTGATTTTGGGGAGTAAAATTAATTACTTTTTCAGCCACATGAAATGATAGACCAAATCACAGCCTTTAGGCGCCAGGAAACTGATATTCAATTTAGAATCAGTCAGTTAACTCATCTGAAATTGGATGCGTCAAGTCTAGAGGCAGTTAAACAACTTAAAGGTAATAAATTAAATTGTGTATAATACTCTAGGATACTTAGAAACATTAATATTTAGTGGTTACATTTCATTACTAAGCATAAATAAAATACTTTGACTTAATGTTTGTGTGAAATATATATAAGAGGATGAGAGGAATGAATCATAATTAATCATTGTAACGTTTTTATTCAACATTTGTCACATTTACTGAGAAAGGTTACACAATTCACCTGTTACAGAAACTCAATAAGTATCTAACATTATAGATATTTATATTTCCAGGATTATTTTCATTATGAAATTCATTTAGATGTAGCTACATGGAATGATGAAGATCATTTTTCAATGCTTACAGACAGGGCTCATGGCAATGATTTTTCTAGCCAGTTTGAGGACTCCTGTACTAAACTGGAAGATTTAGTGAAACGACAAACACAGCACCTTGAAGATCAAAAGTCTTTACTTGACACATTAAATACCAGTGAAACATTCTATGAAGAGCAATACAGAGAAGCCAAGATTGTGGCTAATGTAAGTAATCATTTTATTATTATGTCCACATTTCCTTGCTAATGTAAGTAATCATTTTATTATTATGTCCACATTTCCTTGCAGTATATAATGTTGGTTAAAAAGAATAAGATTGTATATTTTGTCTAATATTTTTTAATTGCCTCCTTGAGTGCAAAGTCTTGTACATGTGCTCTCTATATATCTAGGCCTACAAGAATTTTGGTGCAAGAATCAACAACATGAAAAAGAAGCTGGATGAATTAAAGCGAAGCATGCCTGAGCCAGATAGCCCTATTCCTTCCCCAGATATAAATGCGCCATCACCTGGCAACACACCTCCTCATTTATCTGGGTCGGGATACCTTTACAACCCTGCTGGATCATCAATGAACTATGAGGCAACAATGTCGCAGAGTGGTAAGTTCAATTTCACTTAGTTAAAAGAAAAGTGGTCTCACAGTCTTGATTCCCTGTGAAATTAACTAGGATAATAAATTAAAATTATTTGAATCTTCTGTAATAAGTCCTCATCTGATCCAGCCAAACATATTTCCATTACACAATAGATTGTTCCTTTAAATGTATTATATAAATAATGAATATGACTTTCATTGACTATGTCTATTTAAGAAGTGAAAGAAATTCCTTTAAATGTATTATATAAATAATGAATATGACTTTCATTGACTATGTCTATTTAAGAAGTGAATGAAAATAAAAATGTTGGTAAGACTTTAGATGTTTGATCTTCTAACATTGTGGCATGGTACCAGACCTGGTTACAATTTTGGCTTCCAAATTACAATTTTATAATGTTGTTTACAATTTACGCCAATAGCCATTGGAAATGTGATTAAAAAAGTAGAATTGTTTACAGAGTAATGCTTTTAGTGCTACTGGACATTATTAATGAACTTTGTTCTTGTTGCTCTCTAGCTTGGATGTACAATGGTAGTGGATCAATGGCAATTTCAACAAGCCTTAATCAGATGGGTGGAGATAGCAACACATTCCAAGGTAGGGCATGTTCCTTTTTTACGATCAGATAATATATGATCAGTTAGTTTAAAATATTCTCATGCGATTGATGGCAAGTTAAGACATAAGATATGATTTCTGGTCGGCAGTTTTAATAAAAGAATAATCCAATAATTTTCATCATTAATTTTTTGTGATCCACATATTAAAAATTATTATTTAATAAATAAAAGACTCATAGACACTCTGGCATGCTGAATTTGGTAAGCTGATGTGGGGAACCAGTTGCAGATCTCTTTACACTTAGGATTTTGGCGTGCAAGGATCAATTTTGAGGTGTCTTTTACCATTGTGCGCCAAGATCCCACTAGACGCGAGTAGTTATTGTATTCATTTTTTCTTTTTTTAAAAATGATATTGCAAGATTTTAAGAGTTTGAGAATAAACAGGTCTGCAGTTGGAAGTTCGAATATTTTTTAGGGGAAAAGAAGTTAATTTTCTAAAATAGATTACTAACAAGTGCTGCTACCACGCAAGTGCATGGTACCACAATGGTGTCACAATGGAACGGAAGAAAGTTGCTTTGTTAGTTCTAAAATAGATAAACTTTCAACTGCCAGCTCCATTTTATAAAATGCCAGGTCAATCTGACCTATTAATTTCTTCTTCTTCTTATATTTGAGGGGCCCTCGACCTCGAGGAAACATTTGCAGTTAAATTTTTATTCCATGTGATAAAAATAAAGCATAAGAGCATTCCATAACTTCCGTTTAACAACATGGTGACAATGTAAGAAAATGATTCAATAAATCATTCAAACCCCAGTCAAAGTGGAGCTACTCCTCAATTACAGATATAAGTTTAGAAAATGTTTAAAAAATCTATTTTGTTATATATTAATATGAAATAAAATTATTCACATTTGTAATTGGTTGCATTACGAGTTGTATTAAATAATTGTCCATTGCTTTTGTTGAGTGAATCCTAAATGTCAAACTACGATTAAGTCCTTTTGAATAATCTTGAGCATAAAAACAAATAATTAATCTGCTTTGAAATAATAAATACTCCCGGCGGATCGATAAATCAACAAAATATTTGGAAGTAACCTCCCTTGGTCTCTTATCTTGCGAGAATTTAAATGGTGAGATTTCCTCTTTATATTGAGCAACTTGAAACAGCTTGACCTGAGGCCGGATTTGGCCATCACGAGGTTGAATTGGTTAAAACTATTTTTTTAAAGTTGAAACTTTTTGTTTGGTGCTATTTATTTTTGATCAATATTATGAAATTCTTTGAATTAAAAGTTTGTATCTAGCACAAATAATTGCCCTTTTTCAGATTCTCCTCCATTGGAGGCCCCATCACCTGAAGGTTCCCCACCAGATCTCAATTTGGATGGATCACAATCTGGTAGGTTCAAGAAAATGGAACAAAGTAAAATCTTCACATTATATTTTTAATTTAACTCACGAACTGTTATCGGCCGATTTTCTCTTTCTGTACAGTGTCGGCCGATAAAATCAGCGGATAAAAATTGCGTTAAAAGAACAACTTCCGGTCCAATATTTTAAACTAATTAAAACTACTTCCTTTTATTAATAAATGAAATTCCGTTTTTCGCTCTTCTGTTTCCTTTTTTTCAACTTTGAAGTTATTTTAACAACGATCTTTATCAAGCAAATTTGTGTAAGTAGATTTTCGCGAAATGGATGAGGCCATAGCTGGAACATCTGGCTTACAAAATAAATCAGTTAGGAATCTTTTTGAAAACTTTTTACTTACCGATCACACACGAAGACAATGATAATGCAGATTATTTTCCTGGTGGCTTAGAAAGTGTAATACAGGCTTGGGCGATTTAGACCTAGGCCTAGAACGAGTAGGTGTTGCCGCAACAATAGGACTCATTCAAAACTATGTTGCAGATCATTGTGTACCAACAAAAAATAATTGGATGTTGCTCTATATATGTTTTCTTATATTTCATTTTATGGATTATAATAATATATTTAATTTTATATAACAGCTTTTTAAATTTTATCTCTTTGTTGCTTTTTAGTAATGTTTATATTGTTCATGTCCTGCTTTGTTACTTGAACTTGAACGCAATTATAGGTATGAGAAGAATTTTTTTAAAAAAATCTATTAATAACTAATACAGATACAAATAATAATTTTCTGAAAGATAAATAAAAATGCCATCATATTATATAAACTTTATAATAATATGCCTTAAAAATTGTTGTTTGAGGTACTTTACTTTAGTCTTAGCCAACCCAAGGTCAAGATCACAGAGTAGAAAATAGCATTAACAAAATAGCCAATATGATTCCCCACTCAGTCTAATATCAATAAATACATACTTTATGGGGTCTAGCTATAGTATTTGCATGTGAAAAATCACCTTTTTCAAAGGCACCCAAAAAGCTCTAAATTGCCTGCACAGTACAGAATGACAGTTCGTGGGTCAATATACCAAACCTGTTTATTCTTACGATTTTGGTGTACAATGTACGATTTTGAGGTGTATACATTATATATATTGTATGTTTTTAAAAAAAATATTTAGATAATGTATTGAATGATTTTGTGATGATATTGTACGATTTTAAGAGTTTGAGGGTAAACAGGTCTGATATACCATTTCAGTCTGCTTCTAATTAATAATGTTGAAATGTGAGTTTGAAAAAAAAATCTTAATGGCAACCCTATTAATATTGGACACATGTGGTGAATAGGCCTCTCAATCTCAAGTATAGCAAATGTGATTTCGCCCAAATTTTGTATGTACAATTAAAAATTGTTCTTAAAGTTATTCAAAATGTAAGTTTAATTTACTATTGATTGTACATGAAAAGGAATAGTGAATTTTGTATAAAAATAAGATTGAACAACTAATTTACTATTGATTGTACATGAAAAGGAATAGTGAATTTTGAATAAAAATAAGATTGAACAACTAATTGACTATTGATTGTACATGAAAAGGAATAGTGAATTTTGTATAAAAATAAGATTGAACAACTAATTTACTATTGATTGTAAATGAAAAGGAATATTGAATTTTGTATAAAAATAAGATTGAACAACTAATTTACTATTGATTGTACATGAAAAGGAATAGTGAATTTTGTATAAAAATAAGATTGAACAACTAATTTACTAATTTACTATTGATTGTACATGAAAAGGAATAGTGAATTTTGTATAAAAATAAGATTGAACATCTAATTTACTATTGATTGTACATGAAAAGGAATATTGAATTTTGTATAAAAATAAGATTGAACAACTAATTTACTATTGATTGTACATGAAAAGGAATAGTGAATTTTGTATAAAAATAAGATTGAACAACTAATTTACTATTGAATGTACATGAAAAGGAATAGTGAATTTTGTATAAAAATAAGATTGAACAACTAATTTACTATTGATTGTACATGAAAAGGAATAGTGAATTTTGTATAAAAATAAGATTGAACAACTAATTTACTATTGATTGTACATGAAAAGGAATAATGAATTTTGTATAAAAATAAGATTGAACAACTAATTTACTATTGATTGTAAATGAAAAGGAATATTGAATTTTGTATAAAAATAAGATTGAACAACTAATTTACTATTGATTGTACATGAAAAGGAATAGTGAATTTTGTATAAAAATAAGATTGAACAACTAATTTACTATTCATTGTAAATGAAAAGGAATATTGAATTTTGTATAAAAATAAGATTGAACAACTAATTTACTATTGATTGTACATGAAAAGGAATATTGAATTTTGTATAAAAATAAGATTGAACAACTAATTTACTATTGATTGTAAATGAAAAGGAATATTGAATTTTGTATAAAAATAAGAGTGAACAACTTTTTTCTTCATTTGATTTTACATGGTAGTAGTATTTCATGGTTTCTGTATGGTAGTATTTCATGATTGCTATTTAGTGTGGCAAACTTTACAAACTTTACTTTTCAATGGCTGTAACTGTACCTTTTTGGATAAAGGGGTCACTGAGGCCTTAACCTTATAAAAAAACATCAGCCATTATGCCCTTCTCCGTCATTTCATGGCTGATATAATCTAGTAAAAATGTCCTTATAAATGCGACTGATTCAAAACTCATTTAGTATTTTTTCCCGTGTATTTTGTGTGAAAGAAATTTGAAGGTAGTGAATTACATTTTATAAATTGAGGAAATTAAATTAAAATTTTCTGAAAGGATATTCTTATAGTATCTCCAAAACTTGATAAAACGATAGATCAAACAAAATAGTGACTCTGGGGGTGGGTTGAATGGAGAAGTTGAGAAGTACAGTTTTACTCAGTGTAAAGGTCAAGGTCAAAATCAACTTAAAATACCTCTGCGATATAAACCATTACTTTTCATACTGGTACCATATGATTCCTTGTCCAATGTTAAATTGACTACAGTATCAGAATATGCAAAGTTGTTTCGTAACAATGTAAGGGTCTCTGAATTTTGATGGGATTTTGTTGTTATATACAAGCAGATCAAAATGCTAAAACTAGCTTGATGCCACAGATCAAATACACTCAACATTAATAAATGGAGGATGCATTCAAGCTCTGTGAAATAAATAAATAGTGAAATAAGATATGTTGAGGCTTGAAGAAAAAAAAGAGAGAAATTAAAACGACATTTTCGGCTCATTGCCTTTTTCTTCTACAAAACAATTTATAAATTTTTTGAAATTAATAACTTAAAAGTGTTCCTAGATCAGAAAAAGTTATAGGGTTATTGTATTCTCTTGAAATGTAAAATCAATAAATCACAGTTCATGATATATTCTGGTTCTGAATTTACTTACGTTTCAATTAACTATTTTTTATGTGTTTTTCAGCTAGTGGGAGTCTTGAATCCCGATTGGCAAGCTTTTTTGACAGAAACAGACATGGAGCAGCAAACCCACCTGTGTATACACCTCAAGTTGCTCGCTCTTTAGCATCAAGTACCAAATTGTCTAAATTTGGTGAAGAAGATGGCAGTACAACCCCCTTGGATGATGAAACACCCACAACTCCTGTTCAGGATGAGAATTTGGCTTCTCCTCCGAAACGAAACACACCACCTAAGAAGGAAAAGCCCATCGACTTCTTGTCAAGGCTTATTTCACAAACCCAGAAAGCACCAGTTAAATCAGGACCTGCCAGTTTCTTGGACAGCCTGTCATTGCTAACTAATGTTTCAAAGAAATCAGACAGTGATGGTCGTCTTGATGCTGGCAATCCTCAGTCCTGGGCAGCGTGGAAGGCAAAGTCAAATGATGGTAATCCATCACCCACTCAGCCTTCACCTTCGTATGGACCTCCATCGGTCCTGAACACCACACAATTCCCTCCAACCCCTACCATGGTCCCTCCTCCAATTCCCCTGCCTGTCCCTCCTCCATCGCTTTCTTTGAATATGAGTCTAAGTATGCCTCCTCCGCCCCCACCACCCTTTACCCTCACATCCTCATTGCATTCTGACTTCTCCACACCACCACCTGGCTTCCAACAAACATCTCCGGGCCAAAAGGAAAACTGGCCGGATGTACGCAGTCAAGTTTCTGACCACGCTAACTCTGGTCGAACGGCTCACAGCTCTGTTCTAAAAGAATTAATACCCGCGGAAAGCTTCGATAGTAAGGCATCAGGCCATGCAATATCCAAAGAATCCACTTCAATCATTGACTCTGATGCTATGGAAATTGTAAGTGATGAAGAAGATGAAACCTTGCATGCTCACCTGGAAGCTGCCGGTGAGGCTAAAGCAGAATTTGCTTTAAAACTAAAGCAGAAAACCTTGGCACAGGGTTCATTAAAATCTCACATCTTTGTTCCTAATCCAGAGCGACCAAACCTAATGACACTTGCGGTACAAGATGACCTGGATGAGGAGGATATGATAGATGACAATACTGTGCTAGAAGAACCTAATATTTGGTCATCTAAAAGTCATAAGACATCTCACAGGTCTCGGTCCAGATCTCGATCCAAAGAGAAAGACAGGACTCATAAGCATAAGAAGAAGAAAAAACATAAGCGCAGTCACAGTGATGAGGAAGACTCCAGACATTCTGAAGATGAAAGCAAAGCAAGTTCTAGTTTGGGTAGTGTTGTTAAAAAAATTGATGGTCGATCTAGTAGCAGAAATAGTCGAGACAGTGGGAAGGGAGACAAATATGAAGAAGATCGAAAATATGATAGAAAGTATGATAAGTTAGATGATAGGAAGTATGAACGCGGTGATGAAAGGGCTTATGGGGGTAGAGGGGATTACAAGTCTCACAAAAACCTAAGAGGTACAAAAGATCCAGTTGAGGCATATACACAGGCTTATAGAGATGCATTTTTTCAACAGTATGGTCAGACAAGATTTCCTCCCTTTCCAGGTGCTGCCCCATCAATGGACCCAAGGGCCAGATACGGAAAGTACTGAATTACACATAAAGATATGATAAAATTGTCAATTGAAATAATGCTTATTTCTTTTTAAAAAACAAAATTTTAATTTTTTTTCTTTTAAGGGTGTCCATTGCAATTGTTAAATTGTCTCGATATTTCTCTTTTTTTTACTTGTTGATAATTTGTAATTAACCAGGAGAAAAATTTGCGAGCATCGTTTCTATTTGTTGATCAATCTAAAAATGTGACCATAACATTTACTTTTTAACAAAATTATTTATCTATTTTCAGATATTTCTATCATGGTAATTAAAAAATAAGGTTTTAAAATGCTGCTTTTATGCTGAAGTGTTAATATTGCAGCTATTGAGTGGGATGTCTCATGAAAGATGAGGTGAATCATATATTGTATCATTTCATTTATCTGTGTATTTCAATTTCAAATCTGATGTAAATTTGTTTATTTCACCATTCTAATGGATATGCCTTTAGGTTTGAAGTTAAGAAATGCTTTGACTTACACCAGAGCATGTAGTTGATTTAGCCTTTGTCCAATGTGTATAACACATTCACATTATTTTTTTTAAAATGTTGCTTTGTCAATTTGTTTTTGTTCAGATCAGCAAGTAATGAAATGGAACCCGTTATTTCTCAATGATAGAATTGTTATTAAATTTTGCATACAAAAGAAAATGTTTTAATTTTATCTTTTCACAACACAACAAAGACTATTGCTTTAGCAGGATCAGATTTTATTACACACTTGAAAGTAAGCTTTACTAACAGTATACATGGAGCAACAGGCAGGCATTTATACTGCTTCATCATTTGGAGTATAATAATAATTAAAACAGAATCTGAAAAGATTTGCCTTTTCCTTTTGAAATTTCAATAATCTGAAGAGGAGCCCTGAAATCCTTGTTTCATAAAATTTAGCTTTTTATTCAAGGTTGAGATAAATGTTAAAATCACTTATTAAAAACAGCATAACACAGATGTAATCTATCTACTTAACCATGACAGCATAAAGAATAAACATTAGATTTAAAAAAAGAATACAAGTGATGTCTTGGTACTAACAGGCAGAACCTTTAGGGACAATTTCTGTCATCTTAAATATTTAAGCATTTGCCCTTTTTTTGGGGTCTAAAACCTTACATCTGCCCATTCTTTGACAATCAGGTCACAGCAGTCACAAGTTTTCATATATTTGCACCACTTTCTTATTGCTGCTTATGCTAAAAGAAAAGAAGAGCCATTGGAGAAAAGCTAGATCCTGTACTTACTTGCAGTGGTCAAATAATAATCATTTCAAAATTCAATAAAATGTATTAACTCTTTCATAATGAAGAGAAATAAAAATTGGCAGTCTAAAACGGTTCATATCACCTGAAGTTAATTCAAAAAAACTAACCCATTCCATTAATTTGTTCATTATAAATTTTTATTTAAAAAAAGATTTTTCTTTTAAAAACCAAAATGACTAAGCTCAGGATATAAGATACATCTATAATTATAGAAAAAGTTTTGGGCAAAGATTAACACCGTTGCAAACATTTCAGAAATATTCCCTTGAATGAAAAGAGCACAAACACTTGACAGGCATCTCATTGAACAAGATTTTTAGACTGCCGGAACTTGCATCAGACATTCTATGGTAAAATGTCTTACAATGGCTTGTCAATCCTTCAAGGAATACCGTTATTTTGCCTTTACTAAAGGATCCAGATTGGGCAGCAACTTTCCGAGTTTGAATTAGTGCTGTGGTGCTCCTGTCCGCTGCTGCTAGTGGTGAGCTGTGCCTGACCGTGTGGGGTACTAGGTCACTGGAGTTCCACTGGGGCGTGAAAGCATGTAGTGACCTAGTTGAATGGCCCCTGGGAGAGATGAGAGGCTGGGTAGAGACGATCTCCTTGATAAGTGGAGTCTTGAGACAAAAGAGCATCCATCTGGGATCGGAAGTCATCTGCCATAAAACTGTCCTGAAATGGGAAGAAAAAGGGCAGGTAATTTAAGCTCGCTGTACAAATATAATTCAGGACCTGCTTTCAAACTAGCTGATCTCCTAACTTATATAATATAGGACCAGCATTCTAACAAGTTGACCTACATGACAACTACATCAAAACTGAACAAATAAACAAAAGAAATAACATCTCCACATAACAGAATTTCAAGAACATCTGAGCATATCCAAATACAAACAAATTAAACAATCTAGAATGCATGCGCAGTGATAGGGAGATTGTTTATGACTTTTTCTTGTCGCTTTCTTGCGACAATTTTAATTGGTTGCAACCACTTGGCATGTAAATATTAAGTGTTAATAACTTAATTACTAATTACATTTCCTTTCAGGGAATCCAAAAATTATGATATACATCTTCAACAAGGGTAGGGAAAAGGTCTATTTTAGTCTCTCTTGGCCCAAAGGCCAAAAATAATGGGCTTCCATTTTGAGGGGCTTCCATTTTGAGGGGCTATCCAAAGCGGAGACAGGTTAACCGGGTATATCTTAATTCATTTTGCAATTTAAATTAAGATAGCATGTTATAGCATAGATATCATTGACTAACATTCACTGGTAAGAAAAAAAATTATAAAACATAACTGTTAGGAAAGAGTGCATTGAATTGTAGCTTTGCCTGAGGGTTAAATACGAGTATTAAGCCAGAAACTGTCAAATGTAAAGGTGACAACTTTTTTTTAGTAACTTTGATATGCCACTAAAATACCCAAAACTAATGGACAATGAATCCAGAGATCTATATGAGAACAGATGTTTCTGATAATTAATCAATGCGTCCATCACAGGCGAATATGAAGTTGTGTTGAATGTATTAGGAGCGCTACATTCCGTTCACAAAAAAAGCTTAATTTGAAATCTTACAGAATTAAAAAATGAAAATCCTTTCTTAGCTGGTTGGCCAGGCCATATTAAGAGGGGGATGGGCCGTATTTGTCCCAGGGGTCATGGTTAGCTGACCCCTGATCTACAACAATGTAAATGAGAAGTTGGATAAAAAGAATGAAATCTAATCCATCCAACCTGAGACAGCTCTGGTTGTGACAGGCCACTTAGACCTGGTTGAGAAAGTCCACTGAGACCTTGGCTCATTTGGAAGTGCTGACTCATAGACATGCCTTGGGTTAGAGGTCCTTGCGAAAAGTCCTGTTGAAAATTTTAAATAAAATATTTTTATTATTTTATAAATTTTATTATGTTTTTATTATTAAAACAAATTATATCCTAAAATAAATAGCAACTATTTATTTAGAGTGGTCTCCCATATGACGTTATAACTAACTTCTGGGTGGTTTAAGGTTATAATTATTTAGCAAGTATGATAGAGTACGTCAACATTTAACCTTTACTGCCTTGTTAACCTATTCCTCCCAACCCCCACATTTTAGTTTAATAAGGCAAATAATACTGAGGTGTAACTCACAACCAGGGAAAATTATGCGTTCATTCATCTTCCTGGGTTGAAAACTGATTTCAGTTTCCTAGGTTTTTGAGTTATTTTTGTAGGACATTGTTGCACATTCTTTGCTCAAAAATAGTCATGAATAATTTTAAGTAATGAATAATTCTATCTACTAAGTTTACCTGACTGGCCTGGCTCTGAGATCCAGAGTTGTTTGCAATTGATCCTTTATTTGATTTTTGCCTTCTATTTCCACTCCAGCCACGAGCACCTTTTTGATTACCTAAAAGAAAGATAATTAATAATTGTATCATGTCCCACCATTGTTAGAGCAAATCAATTGAAATAGTTTCCATGAATATTACCAAATATAAAAGTATAGAGTAAGAGTTTCTATAGCCAATCACAGCTAATGATGTTAGATCTAAATGTAAAAAATGTTTACATTTGGAGTTATTCAATTCAGTTAGTATACAAGCATTTAAGATTGAATGCTTACATAACAATGTGGTAAAATATTTCGTTTCCAGAAATGTTTTTAAAAAAACATTGAGAATCCTTACCTTGAGAAGGCTGGCTATTGTTAAATTGTTGTGGCACATAATTAGGCAATAACATATTGACTGGAACAGGAATATTCATGGCAGACCTTGTGTATGCTCTCTCAGGACCAATAAATCCGAGCTGATCATGTGTTCGCATCACTGGCTCTCTGTAGGAGTTGTTTGCTGGTGATGGAAAGTAGTTTATATGATAATGGTACAACAATAACACAATAATTTCCAGCTCAGTGGTGGAAAGGCTTGTTAACGGTCAACAGATGTATCATGAGTTTATGATAATAAATAACACTTTTTTATCAAATAATTCTAATAGTTTTAGATTGAACCATAGCACTAACTCTTTTATAAAAATGAAATTCATGACTACCACAATGCCATCGTTTCCTAGCTATTGAATTAAAAAAAAAAATAGTTAATTTCATGTTATAAATGTGCAAGTTTAAAGATTTGTGTTTATGTTCTTCTCTATCTGTAGGATGCTCTACATCTTCTGTTTTCCCTGAAACAACTAGCAAGCCACTCAGTAGAGACAGTGGCAGACAAACAAACATTGTATCGGGATAGGTCCCACACAACTTTGTGGCCTCTATAAAGCTGATGTGTAGAAAACAAAGCATGTGTAAGTCGTAGCACATTTAATTCTTGTCTGGATTCACAGGAATTTATATCACAGATATTGTCACACACTTGTGAAATAAATGAACGTCATTGACTGCGTAAGATAGTTGTAAGTCTTAAAAATTTTTTCATGACAGAGCCACAACCTAGAAGTCTCTATGCACCCATGCTGTCAATTTCATTCCACTTCTGTTTATGCCGTGATGCACCAGTTAGCAGTGGCCCATCCCAAATATTGCTGGGTGGCCGAATGGTATAAACTGAGCAAATCTCAAGTTGGTGGTCTGGAGTTCAATTCCAGCCAAAAGCACAGTCAAGCAAAAACATCACCAGCACCCTGGGTGATGGGAATCATTAACCTTGAATGGCAACTCATCTAAGAGAGGGAAACTGAATTCAAACCCGGAGATGGAGTCCCATAGGCGGATAACATTGGTACAATGAAACATTCCGACAACTCATGTCACCACTGGTGCCAAGCTGTATTATCCACATGATGCTCCCTTGGGTTAACCATGGGCGTGGAGCGAGGCGATTTGCTGTTGGGAATCAGCTTATAATCCTAAAAGAATAATCGCAATTGAAAAACTTACTTGATACAGATGTAAGAGATAAACCACCTACCTCTGTCATAGGCATTGCCTGGAACAAGAAGCTCTCTTGCATCAAACATAGTGTTGCTCATGAAGCGGCCACCCTAAGGGAAATAATCAGCAAAAGTTTGATTTACTTTCAAGATTTATAGGTTACTAGCGTTGCAATGTCACTAAAAGAAAGAAAGTGTTTGTGCTTTAATTATGTTTTTTGAAATACTTTTTATATACACAATATTTTTTTGTTTTTACTGCCTGGAGCATACACCAACAAATCAGAAGGTTTTCAAAGCGAGAGCAAGCCACATACAGCTGTCCATGTGAGAAGCATGGATGTTCAAAATTTAATCCACACACTTGTGGCGATTGATCCACCCATGCAGTAGCTATGTTTGTATTAAATTTATATAGCTCATTTACTACATATAAACAAATTAAGGGCCCCCGGCCCCAAACTGAATATTGTAAAATGGATGTACTAATTGAGAAACCTACTTATTATGTCACATACAAACAGAAATTTCGCTATTTGTATTTGATTAAAATTCCAACCACCCA